TGCAGGGTCGCTATGAGTCGGGACCGAGTCCATGGCGCATAACCAACCACCACCTAGAAAGATATCAGTTATGAGTTCTAAGGTCCACCCTAATCCAGTAGGAATCCTACATGGTGCAGGTGACTAAGCACTCAGGTTGGCAGTTGAGGTTCCGATCCATCCAAAGGCACCTCACTCAGAAGGAAAGCCTGGTAATCAGCTTTCAAAAGCTCACTGCCACCGAAAACTCGATGGAGCACAGTTCTGCTCTGAAAACACGTGAGGCCACAAATCTACTTGGGGGCACCGTGTTTTGTTGTTGTCTTTCTCTGTTCCAGTATGACCTCATCTCAACTTGCTGACAGGCACACCTTGTTTTAGTGCAGTTCACTGTATTGTGTTTCTTTACAAATCGGAAGTTTGCGGCGATCCTGTGTGCAACAAGTCTGTCGGCATTAGTTTTCCCAATAGCTTGTGCTCACTCTGTGTCACCTTTTGGTAATTCTCACAATATTTCAAGTGTTTTCATAATGCTGTTGCACATGGCTATGCAGTGGCTTGAGAGGACAAACACTGGATTGTGAACCACAAGGTTGGCAGTTCAAGCCCATCAGCCACTGTATTGAGAGTAAGAGGAATCTTTCTGTCCCTGCATAGATGTACAGCCTTGGAAATCTTATGCAGGTTCTCTGTGAGTCAGAGCTGACTTGGCAGAACTTAACAACAGATTGCACACTGACTAGACCAGCATAGTGCAAGCATTTGTGTACTGGGAAACCAAAAAGAATCATTTGTTTGGTTCATCTTATGGCTTGTTGTTGTGAAGTGCCGTCAAGTCAGTTCTGACACACAGCGACCCTGTGTAGGGTTTCCAAGGAGCAGCTGGTGAGTTTGAACCACTGATCTTTCAGTTTAAACTGACTAATTTGTCCAGTGCATGAAACCACAGCACCACACCAGGAGTCCCACCTTATGGCAGTATCGGCTTTATTGTGGTGTCTGGAACCAAACCTGCAGCATCTTTGTGTTATGTCTGTACATCCGCAAAAATCATATTACCAAATACGGCCTCATTCACCAGTACTAGAGGGTAAGACGATCTGTTTTTTTCTGGTGGGGCACAATTCAATCACTCCATGGACTAACTTTTTATACGCAATCATAAGGTTGATTTGAACTGTAAGGTCAGTGGTTCAAATCCATCATCAACTCCTTGGAAATCCTATACAGGGTCACAGTGAGTCGTAATCGACTCCACTGTACTAAAAACAAAACAAAAGCTGGCTATAAAAGAAGCCACTTTTCTGTAAGAACCAATCCAAATCAAACCCAGTGCCATCTCGTCAGTTCTAAGAGATCACGACCCTGGACAATTGAGCCCATAGCATTTCTGAGGCCCTGAGTCTTTATGGGAGCGGACAGTTTCATCTTCTGCCACAGAACTGCTGCTGGTGGGTTTGAACTGCTGACTTTTCAATTTGCCGATGAGTGCTTCCCCTACAGCGCCACCAGGGCTCCTCCAGTCAGAAAAAAACCCAAATCCCAGTCTCGTTACATCAATTCCACCACATTCATAAAGACCCTTTGTAAATCATCATGTGAGCAAAAACCTTTTCCTCTGCAGTGACTGGTCTGTTTGAACTGCTGAGCTCGTGGTTAGCAGTGCAGTGCTTACCCTACTATGATCCCAGGGCTCCCTTCCTATAAGGAAGTATGAACTAAAAACTGGAGTCTTGGTGTGGTGCTATAGGGTACATGCTTTGAACCACAAGGTGGGCGGTTTAAACCCAGCAGGTGCTCCTTGGAAACTTTATCCCGGGTTGCTATGAGTGGGAATCCACTTCTTGTCATTAAATGCCATTGAGTTGACTCTTACTACCCTGTGTAGGAGGACAGTGAACAACAACTTGTTAGAGTATTACTTGGCCTGTCCACAAGGTGGCAGAAGCGGATCATCTTTCTTCAGTTCCAAACCTGAGCTAGAGCTTGTGTGTTAAAAAAATGACATCTGAAAGAAACACAAATCATTACAAGATACTTTTTCACTTACAAAAGAGCCTCTCAAAGTTTGACTCCAGTAATATCTTTGGAACAAGAACTATAATCTTGAAGGAATAGCTTTTTGAGCGCTGTGAAATTGGTAACATGCTCACTAACAGTGCCCCCTTTCCCTCTCCCGGTAGGTTTTACCTGATAGGTGGCGGCATCCCCATCATTGTATGTGGCATAACAGCGGCAGCAAACATCAAGAATTATGGCAGCCGGCCAAATGCACCCTAGTGAGTATTTATACTGAGCCCATTGCTTCTCGTTGTAAGTATTTTACAACTCCTGGTGGTACCACTGCTAACCAAAGGGTCAGCAGTTTGAGCCCATCATCCAGTCACTTGGTGGGAGAAAGGTATGGCAGTCTCCTACCATAAAGATGTACCGCCTCGGAAACCTTTTGAAGCTCTTCTACTCTATCCAGTAGGAATACCAGGAGTTGCAATTGACTTGCCGCAGCTAAATTTGGTGGTTTGGTTTTTTTGGATAATTTATTACAAGGAGCCCTGATGATATAGTGGTTAAAGCTTCACTATGAACTAAAAGGTGGGTGCTTTGAACCCACAAGCTGCGCTGCGGGAGAAAGGTGTGGCAGTCTGTTTCCATAGAGAGAACAGCCTTGGGAACTCTAGAGGGCTGGTCTGCTCTGTCGTAGGGGGTTACTGCGAGTCAGAATTCATTCAGCGGCGTACATAACCACAAGGCTTGTTACAGCTTCTTAACGGTTTGTTGACGTTTGTAACCCCTGAGCCTGGTTCCCGTCTTCTTTTCTAGTTGCTGGATGGCATGGGAACCCTCCTTGGGAGCCTTCTACGGGCCTGCCAGCTTCATCACTTTCGTAAACTGCATGTATTTCCTCAGCATTTTTATTCAGTTGAAAAGACACCCTGAACGCAAATACGAGCTAAAGGAGCCCACTGAGGAGCAACAGAGATTGGCAGCCAACGAAAACGGGGAAGTAACTCATCCGGATTCCATGTCCTTGTCCTTGATTTCTACATCCGCTCTGGAAAACGAGCACCCGTTCCATTCTCAGCTTTTGGGGGCCAGCCTCACTTTGCTCTTGTATGTGACTTTGTGGCTGTTCGGAGCTTTGGCTGTTTCCTTGTATTACCCTTTGGACCTGATGTTTAGCTTCTTTTTTGGAGCCACGTGCTTAAGTTTTAGCGCCTTCCTCATGGTTCACCATTGTGTGAACAGGGAGGATGTTAGACTAGCCTGGATCCTGACTTGCTGCCCCGGAAGGAGCTCGTATTCAGTGCAAGTGAACACCCAGCCTCCCAGCTCCAGCGGGACAAATGGCGAAGCTCCTAAGTGCACCAACAGCAGTGCCGAATCCTCATGCACCAACAAAAGTGCATCGAGTTTCAAAAATTCCTCCCAGGGCTGCAAATTAACAAATTTGCAGGCTGCGGCAGCCCAGTGTCATACCAATTCTCTACCTTTGAACTCTGTGCCGCAGCTAGACAACAGCCTGACTGAACACTCGATGGACAATGATATTAAAATGCATGTGGCGCCATTGGAAGTTCAGTTCCGAGCAAACGTTCACCCAAGTCGCCATCATAAAAACAGGAGTAAAGGACACAGGGCAAGCCGACTCACTGTCCTGCGAGAATATGCCTATGACGTCCCAACGAGCGTGGAGGGCAGTGTGCAGAATGGCTTACACAAAAGCCGGCCAGGCAATGGCGAAGGCCATTCGAGGAGTCGGAGAGCCTATTTGGCCTACAGAGAGAGACAGTATAACCCACCCCAGCAAGATAGCAGCGATGCTGGCAGCACGATCCCCAAAGGCAGCAGGAATTTCGAAAAGTCCATGTCAGCTAGTAGTAAAAAAGAGGCCTTAAGGAAGCCAATAGTGGTTGAACTTGAAAGTCAGCAGAAGTCTTATGGTCTCAACTTGGCCATCCAGAATGGACCAATGAAAAGCCCCGGGCAGGAAGGCTCCTTGCTCAGTACGGACAACACTGGCAATGTTAGGACTGGTTTATGGAAACATGAAACTACTGTCTAGTGTTGGTGGGTTTCCTGACTAGAAATTCAGATAAACTGTGATACTCACATTCCTTTAAGCTATGGACAACTAAAAACAAACTGTTTACAGCTACTTGAGGGAGCCAAGAGAATTTTGAATAAACTGTTTTGGGTTTTACTTATTTCATATCCCCCAAATGTTGCTTTTTAAAAAATGATTTTAAAGCATTATTGTAGTTGTCAGAACACCAGCTAGGCCATTATGGAAATCTGAAATATAATTTCTTGGAATCTGTAATACCAATGTTTCAGACTTGTATTTAATACAATAAATAGTTGTTTGTCAGTGTGTCAGTCTTATAGTTTTGTGTTTTAGACTGTAACTATTTAGTTGTATTTTATAGAAATGTGTATATTCAGAGTGTGGTGCTATAGGGTAAGCAGTGAACTGCCAACCACAAGGTCAGCAGTTTGAGCCCATCAGCACTCCTCAGAAACCCTATGCAAGGTTGTTTTGAGTGAGAATCAAATCAATGACACTTTACAACAACAATTTATATAGAGTTTTCATTATAGTATCTGAATATATGTTATTGTTAAGTGTCGTTGAGGCGGCTCTGACTCATAGCGACCCTGTATAGGGTTTCCGAGGAGCAGCTGATGAGTTTGAACTGTTGACCTTATGGTTCAAACCCATCTCATGATTGAGTACTTATCCTACGGCACCACACCAGGACTCTGTTATATGAATTATTTATCAGATATTTTACAGTATCCAATTAGCTCCACTGATTATGGCACAAAACAAAGGCTTATTGGATCCTGGACGGTGTGTGTTACAAATAGTTATAAAAGCCACAAGTTTTCACAACAACTCCACAGAATAAGTTTTTTGTAAGTTGTAATATACCTAAGTCAAGAAATCAAACAACGTATTGCATTAGGTATATCTGCTGCATAAGACGTCTTTATCAAAGTGTTCAAGAGCACAGGTCTGTTTGAGGACTAAAGTGTGCCTGACCCAAGCCATAGTATTTTCAATGACCTCATGTGCCACGTGATAGTTGGACAGTGAATAAGAAAGACCATAGAAGAATTGATGCATTTCAGCTATGGTGTTGGAGAAGAATATTAAAGGTACCTATGGACTGCCAAAGAGTGTTGGTGTGGCGCTGTGGGTTAATGCGCCAGACTGCAGAGCTGTTTGATCTGCAAAGCCAGTGGTTCAAGCTCACCAGCTGCTCCTCAGAAACCCTGCACAGGGTCACTATGGGTCGGAACTGACTCAACAGCACTTAACAACAACAACAACAACAATGGACTGCCAAAAGAGCAAACTGGTGTGTGTTGGAAAAGGTACAACCTTAGAAGCCAGGATGGTGAGACTTTGTCTCTCATACTTCATACGTATTGTCAGGAAGGACCTGCCCCTAGGGAAGGATGTCATGCATGGTATCGTGGAGGGTCTAGAACACAGAGGAAGATGATAATGAGATGGACTGGCACAGTGGCAGTAACAATAAACTCCAGTGTAGCAGCTATTGTGAGGATGGTTTCAGGACCGGGCGGTGTTGTGTTCTGATGTATAGACAATTACTGTGAGTCAGAACTGACTCAACCACACTTACAGCAGCAACAAAGAACCTTTTCCTAAAATGCATGCCTTTTGTCATGACATGTTAATTTAGTAATGCTATGAATACTTAAGGAGCTCTGGTAGCGTAGTGATTACAAATGGGCTGCTAACTTCAGAGTCAGCAGTTCAAAACGACCAGCTGTTCCATGGGAGAAAGATGAGGCTTGCTGCTCCCATAAAGATTTACAGCCTCGGAAACTCTGTGCAGGGTTGCTCTGAGTTGGAACTGACTCCACGGCACATAACAACAACAACAATTAATTCTTGGACTTTTAGTGGTTTATATATAGGGTAAGTAAAATATTGCTAAGTGGGTTGCAAAACACGTTCTCTCATTAAGACACGAATCTTAGTCTTGTTAGAGTGGCGTCTAAAAACTGGATATGTTTTGTGCCATGAGAAAAAGTGATTTTGGAGTCAGGCTTATACCACATTTTGAACAGAAGTCGAGTGGATGTCTTCCCACATCATTGAAGCTTTTCACAACAAATTTATGGGGTGAATTTTCTTTGTTATTGTTCCAGGCCCTACATTACACTTGAGTGTGACTAAAAACTTACCAGATAAGGTTCCTATTCAGTCATTCTGGAGTCTTCATTAATGGCTACTACCTTGTTTTGAAGCCGATGAAGTTCCATTTAGGTTCCTGCAAAAATTCTGGTATTTAAATTTCATTCCATAAGGCAGAAAGGACTCTGATTGGGAAGTTGTGAATGATCATTGAGCTTGCTGGTGCCCCTTCGATCCTGGCCTTGTCTCCAGTCTGGACCTGTCTTGCATTCCCCTCCCTCTGATAGGTGAGGAAATCAATGGAGCTCAGTTCTGTTTTCCTCAGTAGTCTCACCCAGCAGTTGCCATGTCAGAAATTGTGATTTGAAAGTACGTATTGAAGAAAGCATGAGTCCAACAGATTAGCTTGACAAACCTTACAATCTGGGAGTTTCACTGCCTACGTAGAAAGTAATTCACAGGGTCACCGCAAGATCATCCACTAGAGTGTGAATGGATTTTATGATTAAATTGTTAGGATTAGTTGTGATTGTCAAAACTGTAATTGTGGAAGATGGGAAACTAAATGGGGTGGGGCATAGTCTTCCATTTGAGGAACAGACAATACCATTTTTCACTGGGCTAGTTATGTTAGAAGTTACTTGCTTTGGGATAATAAACAGTTCTTGTTCAGCCTTCTTTTCAGGTGATAATTGGAGACATCTTTTCTTTTCTTTACTTTTTTTAAAAATGTTTTTCCTGTGAATTGAGTGAAGGTTTGCAGAGCAGACCATCAGTTTTACATTCACCAAATCATATACAATGATTGTAATCCCCTCTGTGTACCAACAGTTGATAACATTTACCTCTATTCTCTTTAACTATTGCATTTCTCCCTGTGCCTTCTGCTACCTTCATCTTTCCTCTGCTAACCTCCCTCCTGGTGTAGATTACCTGCCCTCTCACCCATGTTGGAGTCCTGGTGTGGCTCTGGGTTAATGGCCTGTACTGCAAAGTTGGTTTGAACTGCAAGGTCGGCAGTTCAAGCTCCCCAGCCACTCCTCGGAAATCCTATATAGAGTAGTTATGGGTTGGAAATGACAGCACTTAACAACAACAACTGTCACCCATATTACTATGTGTCTACCCTCTAACCCGTGAATAACTTTCTTTCCCTCACCCCAACTCCATAAATGCCACTGATTGTTTGATTCTTTCTTTTTATATATATATATAATAAAACTTGGTTTAAATGTCCAAAGGGCACATTCTGCAACCCAGCCTTTGGCCCAGAGACACAGAGCCTTCCTCAGTCTGTGGCCTACAGCCCGCAGCTGCTCTGACTCCACACCCTCCATCACCTCTGCACTGTCTCTACCATTGTTGCTTATCTAAGTAGTGAGTTTCTGCTCCGCTCAGACGCTTCCTCTTTGATGGCCCTGGTATTGGTCTGTTCCTCAAATGTAGTTTCATATCTTCTATGATTACAGTTTGACAATGACAAAGAATCCTAACAATTAACTCATGATTTAATCATAAAATCCTTTCAGCATCATGCCCCCACCTTTCACCAGACCCAACTGGGATGAGGATTCTACCTTATTGCTGTCCTTCTCAATTCAGCGCACCATGAAGGCTTGTAAGCCAGCCATGCCTTTATATGCTGCTCCCCACCCCTTTTGATAGCCAGCCGAGTAGACTAAGGAGACAAGCATGTTCTTTGATGTGAAGAATCTTCCGTTCTCATTAGAATTTTAAGCACTTGCATTCATAAGAAAAGTCCTGAGAGACATTCTTTTGTGGGGGTAACAAGGCTCCAAACCTAGAAGTACCATTTGTCCATATAACATAGGGGTCCTAGGGTGGCACACATGGTTAAGCCCTTGACTTCTTGTTGCTAAGTGCTGTGGAGTTGGTTCTGATTCACAGGATTTCCAAGGAGCAGCCAGTGGGTTAGAACCACCAACCTTGCAGTGCTTATCCTATAGTACCACACCAGAACTCCTAGACTACTAACTGAAACGTTGGCAGTTCAAGCCTGCCCAGTGACATCTCAGAAGAAAAGCCTGGCTACAAGGTGCTCTGGTAGCATAGGGGTTACGAATCGGGCTGTGATTCGTAAGGTCAGCAGTTTGAAACTACCAGCTGTTCTGCGGGAGAAAGATGAGGCTTTCTGCTCCCGTAAAGATTTGCAGCCTCAGAAACCCTGTGCAGGGTCGCTATGGGTCGGAACCGACTCGAAGGCACTTAACAACAACAATCAGTCTCTGAAAGGCCGTAGTCTTGAGATCCCTCTGGGATGCAGATTTATTCCGATATACCTTGGGTCAGAATTGACTCAAGGACAGCTGGCTTTGGTTTTTTGGTTATTGCAAAATGGCCCGGAGGTTGTGTCTGCCCTGCAATTCACAAGGGGGAGGAGAATCAACAGCTCACAGTCTTATGCCGTGAAGCAAAAGTCAGACATACCTCCAACCTTCCTTACTTCATTCTGACACTAACTCTGCCTCCCATGGGTCTCTGCTTCTCTGCTGGGTTTGGTATCTGTTGCAATGACCATGTAGAACTCATAGATAAAACTCACGACTAAAAAGTTTATTAGGGAAGTTAAGAATATCATTCAGGATTGCAAACAATTAAGGATACAGCAGTTCTCTTGTCAGGGGTGTCTCCTCTCAGCCCACCACAGGCGTGCCTTTCTCTCATCCTCAGCCTCTCAGCTATATGGCCCCTTGGCCTCTGCCTCACTTGGGCAAGTGTTGCAAAGCTCCTGTTCCTTGTTAGATGCCATTGAGTCGGTTCTGACTCATAGTGATCCTAAGTATAGCAGAACAAAACACTGCCTGGTCCTGCATCTGTTAAATTGTTAATCCATTTCATTCAGGGTCTTTCTCTGTTTTGCCAAGCATGATGTTCTTCTCCAATTTTTATTCTTCCTGATAACATGTCCAAAATAAGAAAGACAAAGTCTCACCATTGTCACTTCTAAGGAGCAATGTGGCTGTAATTTTTCCAAAACAGATTTGTTTATTCTTCTTGCAGTCCATGATAGAATCAACATTTTTATCCAGCGTCATGATTCAACAAATGCATTCATTCTTCTCTGGTCTTTCTTATTCATTGTCCAGGTCTCACTTGCATATCTGGTGATTGAAAAATACCCTGGCTTAGACCAGGCACAATTCAGTCCTCAAAGTGACACTTTTGCTCTGCAACACTTTAAAGAGG